TCTTCCTCTTCCTCTTTCGTTCTTTCCTAATCACACATTCATTCATTCTCATTTTAGGAAGTAACAGAAATGTCTGACGAGTGTTCCTTCACGGATCCTATGGGACGTCTTATAAGTGGACCTCTACACATCGACCTCTACGACTACTACGACAAAGGAAATMATATCGAAGACCCCTCAGAAAAAACGCTCAAAAGATATGAAGTTAAAGACTTTTTTCCCTTCAATGAATGTAAGTTTCTTGGAATAAGATGCAAATGTCCTCAAAATCCTAGAAAATTACTCACGCAGTACTTCGAGACAAGGAATTTGAATCCCTCAAAGCGCTGCATTAACGGTATCTGGACTTATGTATAACGTAGCACCAACAAAAGTCAGTATGAGGTTAAAGCTTTACTGTGGAACCTCGCCTTACGGCCACCCGCTTAATACGGCCACCCCGTTATTGCGGTCAGCTCTTTTGGGTCCCGACGAAATGCCCATGCATTTACTGTAAAATGTACCCGCTTAATACGGCCACCCGTTAATACGGCCAACGGCCACTTTCTTGTGGCCCGATTGACAAACGTCCATACTTTTTAACCCCGTATTACGGCCAGGACAAATAGGTTACAGTTTAGGTCTGAATGTAAATACTGTAAAGTTATTGCTGCAAAATCTGTGATTCTTTTAWTCATTCGGTTAACATTCTACAGTAATGCTTTTTGTAGAATCAGAATCAACACAACAACTTCAAACAGAAAAACACGTACAGCGCGATGCGCCGAAAGTATATGTCCGCATTTATTTTATAGCGGTACAGTATTAAAACGAGCCATGCCGATAGCCTGTCTGGGGTGATATCCAGCCTCGAGTCAGTATGGCTTCAAAAGAAGCTTCATTCGTCTGTACAGAGCAAAGTCACTGCCTATTTTAAAAAGTAGTTGTTACCGACTCAGTTTTCTCTGTTCTACTGTTATATTTACAGTCCTGTACTACTGTATAATTTAAAGTGCTACTAAAGTTGAGTTATAACTGAGCTCCAATAGCATCAGAAGTTTTAGAAACATTATTTAAGGATACAATATGCATTATTGCACTTAATTTGTTTAGTAGTTTCGTACTGATTAATAAAACACATTTCTAACATATTTTTGACAGCCCGCTTAATACGGCCATCCCGTTAAAACGGCTACTTTTGAATGTCMCTTCGGTGGCCGGATTAACGGGGTTCCACTGTAGTTGCAAGGGTGGCGCAGAGGTAAAATGCTCGCGCTGATTTCACCACTGTAATACCTCTGTAAATGTGAGTTCCGAATCATTGCTTCGATCTCTGTGTATGCCACACTCATAAATTAGTCGTTCCGAGGTTAAGGATAAACCTAGGTCGAATTGGCATTGCAGTGCATTGTGGGTCTTTTTAGGGGAGATATTCAATCGATATTTCCTCTTTAACTTACTTATGAATCTCAGGGCGAGTTTATCCAGATGTAGGCAAAACATTTCATTACGTGGGAAGTGACTAAAATTGCCTCTTATACTGATTAGCAATTTCGATATTGGGTAAAAAACTAGCGCAGGTCTTACACGGTACAGTATTGGCGAGAAACTATAAAAGCGACACGCACAATCTTTTTTAGAAAACGCACAGGAAGCCCAACAGACCCCACGCAATCAATAAATAATAAATAAAGCGGGTTTTCCAATTGCGCGGTAAACCATACAAAAACAATTGAATACAAACACCAAAGCAGGCATAATTTTTTATTGGATCGAATATGGTCGTTAGTGTTGTCCGTTGCTAATAATTATAAAATAGATCAAATGAACCATCAAATATTAGTAAATGGACGGAAATGTGGGAGTCAAAAATTGGGAGTCAGTTTGATGGCATAGTTCAACGTTCCGGCTTCATCGCTCATCGCTAGTCAGTTTGAGATATAGAAAGCGACAAATCTACTCGATTTACAAGCTATATTTTTAGCAGTTCGTCTGGAAGGTTGCGATTCTAATAAACCCTGTAGGCGACAGACAAAGAGCAGAAGAACGGTAGGACTGCGGTAAAAACGAAAAGTATTCATCGCTGGGTCACACCATTGGGCTGCTTGTGCGGTAACAGGCTACGACAAAAAAAGGTGATTCCAAACTACAAAAATCATCTACGAAAACACCTTATTACGAGGTATTTAAACAGACTACGATCAATATAATAATATAATACAATCTCTATATAAATAATAGCCTTTAATTTGCTTTATTACCAAGTTTATTTGAAACTGTTTCATTTAGAGTTTTAGTATCCGTATTTTTTGGACAACTATACAGCCAGTATTATATTATTAATTACTAAGTTTGAGCCAAGAGAATATTCTCTTGGTTGAAGCTGAGAATTCTCGGCATTTTCGTAATGGTATAAAAAAATGTATGGGGGTGTTAGACCATCGCTAAGATTTTATTTTGACAGCGACAATGTGACACATTTTCTCGAGAGAGTGCTATGCGCTTAAAGATTATTCCAATTCTAATTAGCTCTCTAGAATCGTCTCTTTTTACTAGTTGACTGAAAAAGACACAGAGAATGGAATCTGGAATCTTTCGCATCACGTTTAGGATTTTATTTTGGCAGCAATGTGACACATYTTGTCCTGGAGAGCGTGCGACATATAGGTAAACGCGTCTACAGATTCTTCAAATTCCCAGTATAGCTCTGCAGAATCGTCTCTTTTTACCAGTTGACTGAAAAAGCCAGAGCTTCTCTGGAAAAAAACTGGAATCTTTCACATCACATTGTTTACTCAGAAAAATCGATTGAGCCTTTGAAAAACCAGATTACTGGAAATAAACTTGACTGAGAAAGATGACCAAGGAGCTTAGTCTTCGGGGAAAAAACTGAAATCGTATCTTTCACTTCTCATTTATATCGTTAAAGTTTAACTCATTAATGAGAAAAATTGTTGAGGCCCTACAAAAACCAAACTATGCATGAGTACTGAAAGGGACTAGCTCAATTAGAGCAACATTGACCTTAGCTTGTAATTGAGCTGCTTCGAGTTGTACGAAAGAGTGCTAGGACTTTTAAAAGTATGCAGCCATGTTGGGCTAACGATTGATCGATTCGTATAGGTTACACTAGCTCTGACTGGCGGCGAAGGGTACTATGCGAGACTTTTATTTTAAGGTACAAATTCAAATTCCAATTCTATCGTGGAACGAGGGTCAGGTTTCTCTTTAAGTGCTACTCTTTTAAAACATTTTAAATATTTTAAGTTTAAACTTTTTAAAATTTGCACCAATTATTTTGTAGTTTTTCATGGTAGGATGCGAGCTTTTTGGTAACTTTGTTTGCGTTTGTTTTGAACTATGTCATTACGAAACAGATCCCCTCAGCTTGGGTGTAATGTTTTTCCATTTCAGACCACGTTTCATTTTTTTAATCAGAAGATTCGAAATATAATTGAGTTATATCAATGTTCATGTGTCTTCTCATGCGCAACCGTTAAACAAAGAAATGATACTCAAAGAAAATGACACACGTGCAGTCTGAAATAGGAAATCGAAGGGAAAGTAGTCTATTGGCTGTTGATAATATCTTATGATGTGACGTTAGTAAGTGTTTTGTTAAGTAACGTTTGGCTTTGTGGCATTGCTGTCAACCAAACCAAAACATAGATTATTTGACCAAAAACCAATTAATAACCCAAAAATGAGAGTCTCTGGATGAATGTTGAAACCGCAACACAAATCAGTATATGTTTCTTTCCTTCTTGCTATCTATCTTTCCTGACGCTTTGAACCTTCTTTCAGTCTGCGTTGGTTTATTCGTTCTTTTCTTCCTCCCATTCATTCCCCTCTCCTTCCTTCCTTCCTTCCTT